GATCCATAGTCAATGCCCTTGGAAGCACCAGTGAAAATTCACATGATGTATTGCAGCGGGCTCATCTGCTTCGAAAGACCTATTTAAAGGGCTAAAAGACAAAGATATCATCTGGAGGACTATCGTGTGTCTAGCCCAAGACATGGTGTTTTTAATAGCCTTGTACGCAAAAGCTGGGCAACGAATAAGAATGAAAGGATGGGTGTGTTTTAATGACGATGTTAGTGGGAGTATTACTATACCATAGATTGCCAGGAGAGCAAATGTGTCTTGGAAGAAATAGACTAGAATGCTCCCTAGAATAGAAGGTGGTTAGACTTCATCTCAAGTATTTTGGGCATGAGGGTCTGTGCTCATGATGGAGAAAGACATCATGCTTGGTAGAGGGTCAGCGAAAAAGAGGCAGACCATCAGCAAGATGGATCGGCAATGGCTGCGACAAGGATCTTCAACACTGCAAGGATTGTGAGGGTGACACAGGAGTGGCTGCATTTCATTCTGCTGTCGTGGGTCGCTATGTGTCAGGGTCAACGTGCTGGCACCTAACCACAACCTGGTGGCATATCAGGCTGCACCACAAAATCCAAAGATCTTTAGAAATGTGTTAGGGTAACCCAAGAATTGGTAAAATGGATACGGAGGCTCTTGGGAGTTGGGGCATTGTGACCTAATTGTGGGCCAACCAAAAGCCAAGGCATATGACTGTGTTTCATTATCATATAAGTGCTCTAAAGCCTGAAACTGATAACCATCCAGTTTTTTCTATGTCAACCAGATTAAGTTGGAATCCTCACAATAAGACTCTAGAATTAATCTCCTCAACCAATCACACTGCAGACATTCCGAGGATGTTGTTAGAAGTGGTAGAGTCCATTCAGACTCACAGCTACCCTACCTACGACAGGACAAAATGCTGTGGGTTGCTGCATCGTTCTTACAATTAATGCTAAGCTTAAGGCCGCATTGCAGCCATTGTGTCAATCCATCTCAATGAGGTCTTCAGAGGATCTACATCTTAAACTGCTCAAATAGGAATACTGAATGATATGCCTTGGGCCCATATTTCAGCAATGTCACATTCCACAGCCCACTACCTCTCTCCCTACCCACCCCCCAGGTTTAATTAGCTTATCTGAAAAATAATGCCAACTGACTAGCTGCTAGCTAACATTTCATCTGGCTATAAGATGTCTAAATTCCTGTTTATTTTTTTTTAATTATTTCATACACTTAATGCTTTCATAAGAATCAAAGAGGTGCACAAAACTAGACTGTGTGATTATTTTTTTAATTCCTTTTTAAATAGAACTTGATTGAATGGAGTTAAGATAGAGGCTCCATAAGCACTGAGAAGGAAGACCTTCCACGTAGAGAAAGAAAAGTCAAAAATTAGGAAAGATGGAAATGTTAGGAATTCACGAAATAAGAGATGTGACAGAACCAAAATGTTGGCTGTTTGTTATTGGTCCCACAATTCTTTTAAGCAGATGGTCTTCACTGGGAAATGGAATGGCCATACAGGCTGATATTATTAAAGACATAAACTTTTATTGGATTTAAAAATATGATTTTAAAGGTCCATATCCTTTTCTCAAACAACTTCGAGTCACATTCTGGATCTGGGTCTTCCTCAAAGAAAAGAGTGGGAAAGATCTAAAGAAGCCTTTCTATGCACATATGAAAATTGGAAATATGAGTAACAAGCAGAAAAGGATGCTACCTTAACAAACCAAACCTGTTGCCCTCAAGGTAATTCGAACTCTCAGCAGTGCTACGTCTGGTTTCCAAGGCTAGATGTCTTTAACTGAAGCGACAATTCCATCTTTCTCCCAGGGAGCAGCTGGTAGGTTTGAACTGTCCACCTTAACGTTAGCAATCCCACACTTACCTGACAGTGCCACCAGGGGTCCTTACGTTACTGTGGGTTCCAACTCACAGTGACTGTACAAGACAGAGCAGAACTGCCCCTTTTGGTTTCTGAGGCTTTTTTAAATCTATAAGGGAGCAGAATGCCTCCTGTGTCTCCTGGCTCCGAGTTTTGGAACAGCTGACCATGAAGTTAGCAGCTCCGAAACTACCACCAGGGCTCCTGGGTGTTACCTTTAAACTCAAACTAACCCACCTAAAATGAGGTGCTTACATAAAGGCATCCACAATGTCAACATTCTTCATCTGATAAGTAGGAGAAAGCAGGAATCGAGAAATCTCAAGCTATCACAAGGCAAGTATCTAAAAATAGTCAAGGAGCACCCTGTCATTTGGTCTTCCTTGTGATCTACTTAAATTTGTTCTAGTTTTTCATACTTCCTGCTTTCTTTTCAAGTGAGGTTTATATCTGTTTTACTTTTTTATTCTTGTTAGTTTCTTTTTCTTTATTTTTAAAATGTTTTTTTTTTTCTGTACAGGAAAGCCACAAGAGATAAATCTATAGATAGTAACTGGATTAATGGTTCCTTAGCCTCCTTAAGGGGAGGTTTCCAACCCTAGCGGCAGGGGAGGTTGGGGCAAACGGAGCGTGAATAATGATGAGGACAAGGATGAAGAGTGGTAATGACTGAGCAACTCTTTTTGATGTGATTAATTGAATTGTGTGATACGTGAATTATATGCCAATAAAAGTATTGGGGGAAATAAAAATAGTCAAGGAAAAACACTAATTAAAATAGTCAAGGAGAAAAATGAGAAATGAAGAGTTTGGGTTCAGGTTTTAGAAATCTGAAATAAGTTTTCTAGCAAAAAAAAAAAAAAAAATGCCCACAGTTATAAAGCAGCAGGTGAATGTCTACCTTATATAGTAAAATTTTGCCAAATAGCCCTCGACTCCCTTTGCAACCACACATCTGGACAGTAACTTAGATGATGTTTCCATATACAAGAACAGAGAAATAAAGCATCAGAGATGATCATGCTGTAACAGTAAATTACAGACTTGATTGGGTCCGCCATTTTCTAGCAGTGTGACATTGGGTGGGTGACTTAATTATTCTGTGCCTTGCCTACTACCTTAAAGGTGTATTATGAAAATCAAGTCCATAAATAACATGCGGCCATATGGCCTGGCACATATATTAAGTGTATGGCCTGTGTGTATATATGTATGGGGAAGGGCAGCCTTCCAAGTTCATGGAAAAGTGGAATAAAATCATGGGATTTTTGCATTAACCTTAAATATATATATGTATTTATTTATTCAAAAATGGAAGGTACATTTAAATTCCAAGAAATACAGGTTACTTGAGTGGCTTTACCATCAAGCCAGGGAACAGATATCTACTTGTTTTTTAGGGCGTGCGTGTGTACGTGAATATTCCCAGATACAGTCAAGGGTTCTTTTGGCCAATCACTGAAAGGAGTATATAATAAATCCTATGGCTCTATTTAGGATGTTACATGTAACCCTAGGCAGGGTCTGATTAAACCCACTGTTACCAACCCTGATGTTCAAAGGAAGAATTCCTTAAGTCTCCCATTTCCCTTCCCTTTCCCAAAAAATTTTGCAATGCCATTGGCGCTGGTTTTCCAAACTTCTTCCCAGAAAGTCTGAAGTGGGTGCTGTTAGGAGCTGCTGTATAATGACTTAACCTGATTCCCTCTAAAGAGCTTAAGCTAAAAATTGAGGAAAAGAAAGCAGATTAACCATTTGAATACATGCCACGGCCCATCCACAAGCCTTCCCCTCCCCCCCGCCCCTAAAGAGGGGGGGACGCTTCCACAGTCCCCACCAGTCAACCCCAATATGTGATCTGGGAAATCAATTTATTGCTTTGCCTAATCCTACAACAATAGGGGCTTCACTTTCGTTGTAGGACAATTAAGTTGTCCGACGGGAATGACGGAGCAGACGGGGAAAGGGGGAACGCTCCCGTCCCCACAGACAGATTAGTCCAGTGGCGGCTGCAGCGTCCGTTGTCTGTCTGGTGGTCGGTCACACGCAGCTCCCGGCCGCTACCTAGCAACGCAGAGCCCGAGGGAGAGCTCGCCGGTTCCCTTCCCTGCGCCCTTCCCATTCATCCCTGCTCTCCCTCGCGGGTTGGTCTCTCTCGCTCTCTGCCTCTCCCTCCCTCCTCCCTCTTCCTTTCTTTCCAAATTCCCTTGCACGCTCGCTCGCTCCTCTAACTCGCTTTCTCTCTGCCCTTCTCCCCCTTTTCCTCTCCACTTGCTTCTCTGGCCCTCCCCCCTCTTCCCCTTGCACTATTTTACTCTCTCCACTTCTTCCTCCCTCGCCCTCCTGCGCCTCTCCAACAACTAAAGGCATGCAAAGCAACTCTCGCCAAACAGTTTCGCAGTCGAGCTCCTCAAACCTCGGGCCGCGCAGAGCAGCCTCATTCATCCGCACAAAAAGCCCGGACTCCCGGCTAGGAAAGGAAACCCCTTCCGAAAACCCTCCAGTGTCCTAGCCGCTCCCCCGGCCAATCCCACCTTCCAAACTTATCAGGACTCGTAAACGATCCGTAGGTGAGATGCGGTCTCTTGGGGGTCGCAGAAGGACCGAGTTTCCCCGGCGCGGGGGAGGGGCTTGCCCCAGCCCGCGGCCCGGGGCGCGCGCTGGGACCTCCCGGGCGGGCCGCGGCAGGTGAAAACGTGCGCTTGGAGCGGAGCGGACGACCGCTCGGCCCGGGGGAGTATAAATCCGTGGGGCAAGCGGGTTGAGGGCTCGAGGGGGAGGGGAGCACCATAAAGTACATTCCAGAAGGGTGGGGGAAGCCTCCTTCCCCGCCGTGGGAACAAAGACTAGGGGGTCCCGGTGGGGTGCGCTGTCACCGGAACCGGCGGGGCTGCTTTCGCAAGTGTGCGGCCGCACCGGGGCCGGTGCGCTGGCGCGGCGTTCTAGCTAGCGGCTCGCAGGGCAACCTGAGCGCCCCGAAGGGAGCCGCTCCGGCGCCGCCGCCCAGCCCTGGCCCCTGCCGCGCCGCACTCCCTGCCGGCCGCCTAGGGGACCCCGCCACCCCTCGGAAGGCTCCCGGCTCTGCGCTGGGCACTCGCTGGGCGAGTGCACTTACCTGCCCCACTGGCCAGCGGTACGCAGGCGGTGAGAGTCAGCAGCACCAGCGCGCACACCGCGGCCGCGGCCGCGCCCGGGCGCTGCATCCCTGCAGCGGTCTCCCCGCTTGGCCGCCGCGGCTGCAGGGGCCTCGCGGTTCCTCCTTGCAAAGGTGGGCGCGCGGGCGCGCGGCTCCGGCAGAGGTCCGGCGAGCAGACGCTCCCTCAGCACGGCGCCTCGCTCGGCTCCCAGTGGCAGAAAGCCGACGCGGGCCCTCGAGGCATCCAGTTTTCTACCGGCGCCAGTCCCCACCCTCCGGGCCGAGTATAAAGCCCTTCAGCCCCTGCCGCCCCGGAACTAGCATGCGGGAATCCAGCAGGGCAGGCCCCCTGCCGCCCGGCCCGCCCCCTGCACTTTGCAACTCCGGGAAGAGTGGGGACTTAGCGCGCGCGCGCGCTGCAAAGGCCCCCGCCTGGGCCACGCACGTGAACAGGTACTCGATCGCACACGCACACGGACGCACACTCCCCGTGTCCGGCAAGCACAACGACTCCCACACAAACACACCCCTCACAGTCGCACGCGCGCGCTGCCCTCTCCGCGGAAAGATTTGCCTTCGGGCAAAAGTAGATTAGACGGCACAAATCTGCGCTGGACAGTCTTAGAAACCAGATGAAGAGCGAGGAGAAGCTGGGTGTGGGGGTGACGGGGAAGGGGTCGAGAGGAGAAAAAGTCGAGTGGAGGGAGAGAGGAGAAGCTGCTGGCGAGATTTTTCACCTCCATCCATGATTTGAGTGTCCATGATCTCTTGACTACCCCGATTCCCATAAAGCTACGGAGACGGGGGTCCCTTTTGTTTTGGAAAGTTAGGGAGTGGGGCTGGCTCCCTGTTGGCTTTTCTTAACGCCCGCAACGTTAAGTGTCAAGGGCAGCACACGTGCACTGGACGGTCAAATGGAAAAGAATGACCCCAAGCTCCTCCGGGTGGGTGCCTTCGTCTAGAAAGGAGAAAGAAGAAGGGCATCCTACTCTGAACAGGCTGCCGGGGACCCAGTCTTCCTGATGCCGCGACCCTTTCATACAGTTCATGTGGTGGTGCCCCCCAACCATAACATGAGTTTCGTGGCTACTTCATCGCTGTCATCTTGCTGCCGGTATGAATGGGGCGACCCCTGTGAAACGGTCGTTTCGACCCCCCAAAGGGGTCGCGACCCACAGGTTGAGAACCGATTCTCAAGCCCTTCGCCCCTCAGCTTGCGGGTCACTCCGAGCCGCAGAAGCAGGGTCGGAGCTCCGTCCCCGGAGCGCAGAGGGAGGCAGGCGTGTGGGTGCCTCTGGCGTCGTCCCAGACTCGGCTGCTGCGGGCCCGCGCCACCCTGCCCGTGGGACCCAGGCGTCCTGTCCGGTGCAAGGAAGCTGTTGCTGGAGCCCTTCCCGGTAACCCGAGGGGGCATGGAGGCGGCAGCCCTGACAACACGTGGCCCCAGCCCCAGCCCCAGCGGGAGAACCTGCCAGCCCTTTCTCCCGGCACTACTTGTTGACTTCTGCTGGCCCCCACGGTCCGAAGCGCACAGGTCCCAGGAGTTTCTGGGGAGGTGGGGGGCTGGCAAGAGGTTAGCGCGTGTGAGTTGAGACGGGGAGGAAACTTGGGCTTTCGAGTTAGGAGATGGCGAGAAGAGCTCGTGGCTCCATGTGCACATCCGGAGGTTTGGCCCCGGCCCGGGTCCCTAGAACGCTGCTCGGTGCCGCGCTGGGCGGAGGCCGGCTTGGGGACTGGAGGGGGCAGGGGGCTGAGAAGCCAGGGGAGCGACCCCGGCGGGAGGAGGGGCGCGCTGAGGAGCCGAGAGGCTACGCTCCAGTCTCCGCGGGTGATTTATGCCGGTTCCGGGCGGCCGGAGCGGTGGTACGAGACCGCGCCGGGGTCACGCCGCTCCGACGCCGGCTGGGGCCGCGCTGAATAGTCAATGAGCGGCGGCTCCGCGCCGCGGAGCTACAAAGAGCGGCCGCCGAGCCTGGGCAGCGCGCCGGGCCGCCGGCGGGTGGGAGGAACCGAGGGCCGCGCGCGCGGGAGGCTCGGGCGCTCGCTGCGCTCAGCGCGCTCGTGGGAGTGCACGGCGCCGGGGACCGCGCGCAGGCGCGCGCCGGACTCTGAGTTAAGCGTGCGAGCGTGTGTGCGTGCGTGTTTGCATGTGAGAGGCTGTGAGTGAGTGAGTGAGTGAGTGAGTGAGTGAGTGCGCCCTTTCTCTGCAGCAGGCTCCAAACATTCCTTTCTGCCCTGGAGGGTTTTCCTCATTGTTGTTGTCTTTGTGTTCCCGTGTTGCCAACTCGCTGGAATTCCTGACGTGGTTGCGCAGCGGGGCTCTGGCGAGCGGACCCGCCAGCTGCGTTTGTGTTCGCGGCCGACCCTCCGGTTAATCCCGGAATAACGCTGGGGAAGGGGGAGAAGGTGGGAGGGCCTGCGAGGGAAGGGAGGGAACAGGCGAGAGGACCGAGGCTCCCTAACCGAGCCCAGCGACCATTCTGAATCTGGACTGTATCTGAACACGCACACGTTCATACTTCTCCATTCGAAAATCCCATTCTCAATACAGTCTCACTCGTGATGCGTGAAAACGCGTCTTCCGCAGCCTGCACTCCACACGTGCTAATCCCAGAATGTGCCCATGAAAATGCCTGTTGCAGGTTTGGCAAATGAAGCCTATGGACCAGCAACTGGGAAAGGCCAAGCAAATTCAACTGGGACTTAAGCCAGCGCTTTTCGATAGAATGCAAAAGTGTACCTTTCCCCCCACATGTCTCACTCATTATGTAGGGCTGTCTGACCTCATGAAGATTTGCAAAGCATCCCAAACCCTCTCTATAGCGCCACTGTGAGTCAGAATGGACTGAATGGCCATGGGTTTGGGTTTGGGCTTTGTTTCACAAATTCGTTGAAAATGGTATGCAAAAATAATGGAATTTCTCCCTGGATGTCTTGAGGCACCCTCATTTACAAACTTATGGAACATTTGCACATAAGAGAAAAGGGATAAAGGAACTATACTGGTGAAGTTTACCCTAGGACTGTAAGATGAGATTTTAGCTTAATTGATTCCCTTGCTATCTATCTATCTATTTATTTATTTAACTTGTCTGTGTTGTTTTCCCTGCTGGGTAGTGGTTATGCTTTGGGCTGCAATGTGCATGGTTAACTGTTCAAAACCACTAGCCACTCCACAAAAGAAAGATGGGGCTTTCTACTCCCATGAAGAGTTACAGTCTCCTAAAACTCACAGGGGCCACTTCTACCCAGTCCTGCAGGATGACTATTAGTTGGCATCGACTCAATAGCCCTGAGTTTAGGTATTTTTGATTTGGTATTGATTCACATATTCTCTTATCATTAAGCTCCTGGAAACATTTTCAAAACACCTGAAGCAACTCTTGCTTCCTGCTTCAAGTGGGCATGAAGTTATAAAACATCCTTGGGGAAAATCCAACCACAGTTTGCTCCTTATCCAACCAGATTTGCTTCTTGAGCACCATCGAGCCCAACTGCCCACTAGCCAGTTCCTATCCAGTGTCCAACCCCTCAAATTCAACATGAGTGAGTTTGATCTCAGTAAGGAGCAACACTATCCACCCTGGGGACCAAGCCAGAATTTCTCATTTTTGCTTTTCACCTATTTACCCCACTCCCATATGTAATCAACTATGGAATTCTGTTAGCTTTAGCTCTAAGTCTTGAATCTACCTATTTGTCTTCCAAATCCATTCACCTTTCTCATCCTCACTGCTAGTAGTCTCCTCTCGCCTGAATTTATAATGTGCCTCCTCCTACCTAAATGATGCGAGTTTATAGTTCTCCCAGACAAGCGTTTTCAAAAGAAACCTTGATGCTTGCCCTCTTGAGGAAATCACTGAAGATATAGGTGCTATAGCAAAGTGCAGTGAAGAAACCAGATGGGACCCAGATATCAGAAAATAAATCATGTCTGGAATCTTAAAGGCTGGTCTTTAAACCAGCAACCCTTTAAATGAGCTGTCAACTAAATCTGCATGGAAAAAGCACACCAGCCTGTGTGATCCAAGGATTATAAATAATAATGTCCAAATCCAAAGGAAAACTTGGTATCAGAGCTTAACTTGTGAACACCTACCTGGTTTGAAGAAGGCTGGGGTGTAGTGGTTGTGAGTTGGGCTGCTTACCAGGAGGGCAGCAGTTCAAAATCACCAGCGGCTCTTCGGAAGACAAATGAGACTTTCTACTCCTGTAAAGAGTTACAGTCTCAGAAACTCACAGAGGCTGTTCTACCCTGTCCTATCGTGCTGTTTTGACAGCAAAAGCCCAAAATCCATTTGCAGGGTCCCCACATGGAGTAAGCCTCTGGGGAGTCCAGGGATGTGAACAGCCTTGCAATCAGATTCAGAGCATTGCAAAGTTGATTATGGCAAGTGTCCAAACCAAAACTCAAACTCACTGCTATCTAGTCAATTCTGAACCATGGTGCCCCTAAAGGACAGAAAAGAACTGCCCCTGTGGGTGACCAAGACTGTAACTCTGTATGGGAATAGAAAGTTGTGTTAGACAGGGTTCTCTAGAGAGATAAAACCAAATTGCTGATAATTTAATATATTTATTTATTTAGATAATTAGATATATAATAAGAAATGAACTGTTAAATCATATACAGATAAATATATAATACAAGAAATGAACAGTTAAATTATAAAGCACTACAAATGGCTCAGTGC